TTAGTATACTGATAAAGAGAAACCTTTAGATGTAACAAGTAAGATTTGATTCATTAAGAGTGCTTTAAACTAAAAACGTTTCATGATGTTCCAAAGTTGAAGAATATATTCATCGCACGTAAAAACTATAAGATAGATAAAAATAAGAATAGTGAGTTGAAAAATCCAGGTTGAATATTTTTATTACTGCTATTACTCTTTCATTGCATTTTCATTACACTTATATTGTACCCTCTTGTATAATTACTCTATATTTCTGATTTAGCTTTGCTTTTCATATTGCATTTGGACGGTGTCACATATTTTCATTATTCCAACAGAATTATGTCAGTATTCCTACATGATGTCTTAAAATTGTTTTCATAGCAATTTTTTTTTCTAAAGAAAACCATTTCTTATAATAAATTTTGTATTAGAAGCAGAATAGAACAACTTAGATCAACAGTTTTTTTGTGCAGTTTCTTGCCCTTTTTAAAACTTTATCCCAGATCCCCAAAATCCTATTGACAACATACAGCAACATGAAATTAATGATATAGCCAGGGTACCAGGACTGCTCGAAAGCACTTGACTGATAGGCAACAATCTGAAAGTTTAGCTTTTTAGATATATAGCTGATAAAAGCACTATTTTCCGAGAGAAAATAAAAAATAACAGTATAAATTCACAGCATTTTTCTTGATGATTGCACTTAGCGGGAAACTCGGAGTAACAACTTAAAAGCGTCCTGTTATATACACCAAAAGCGTGTGCACAGCTCTGCCTATATAAAATCGAGCACTTTATGATGTTTTCATAAATATACCAGCTTGCGTGCTGTACAATATAATAGACAAATTTAAGTTAAATTGTACTGGGAATATGTAATAGATCATTAATATTTCGAGCATAGCCTGTTATCAAGTCATTGCTCGTAATCACTTTATGACGGGCCGGTTAACAGTAATTCTCATCAAATACACAGCTAAGTTGCGCTGAAATCTCTGCTAGTCCTTTCGTTTGGCGAATTATTGCATTTATGTTTTTCAAAAAGAGAAAAAAAGCATAAATGTATCCCAAGGTATTCTCTCAACTCTCAACGTAATACTTTAGTTCCTCGATTGACCGACTCCACACCACAGCCATATAGAATAAAAATATCAAAAGGGTGGTAAGTCGATTACCTCTGTTTTTGGCCTATTAAGCAACAGTGCTTATCGCCCCAAGCTCAGATGATCACAAAATGTTGCAACCACTTAACAACGAGAATACGGTCTGGTTTCAACATATAAGCCGCAATCATTGGAACGGAGTTGAATAAAGAAAGCAGAGAAAGAGTCATTTGGTAAAAGATTATGAAAGTCATACTAATTGATAAATCCTAAAGAGATAGTATAATCTATAATACTTACAAATAAAGAATTGAATTTGTAATCCACCCAAAGGCCTGCATACTCACTCCATGCGACGTAGAAATATCTCCCTTTCTTCTCACACTTAATATCTCCCTTGCCGACTGTTCCTCTGTGAAATCTTGACTTCCAAGATATTAATTGAAACAAGCCTGAAGCAAGTCAGACTTGGGCGTAATGTTTAAGTGGCAATATCGCCAACCACTTAACTCTTTTTGAAAAGTCTCTCGCGTAATCTCTATTTGTCACTGAAACAAAAAATAAGAATTTAAATCCATGCAGACTTTTCTGCATGAGTACCTCCTAAGGCACTGATGTGACTCAATCGTATTCCTATGGTTTCGATACACTCTCCATCCTATTAATTTAAAATAACCCTCCTTCTATTTGATAAAAGAGTTCTAATTGGAGCATATTGACATTGGCAGAGTCAAATAGATTTGTTGCTGTTCTCTATTCATCCCAACTAGGCTCTTGTAGCAATAACTTTGATGCTAATCTGCTTGAGCAGTTGCCATTGAAAATTTCAAAGCTCATCCTTTTTATAGATTGCATATCTTTTTCAAATAAAGAAAAGTCTAGCACCATAAGTGGAAGCTTTAAAGCTGTTTCTGCCTATGATTTGCTGGTTTTAAAAGTGTATGATGAAGAAAAGAACAAACTTTCTAATTCCTTGCCATGAGAAACTTCGGTTAATGCCACGAGAAGACAAAAATAATGCTGCTTCGTAGGGGGTAAGATTTTGCAAAGTGTGGCTATTGCCAACAATACAACGTGGCCAAATTGCTTACAATGAAATATTGAGCTACAGGAGAATACAAAACAGTGTATGGGTACATATTGTACATGAATATGAATTTGTTTATCACTTTTGATATATAGGGAATGCAACAGTCCCACAGACCCCCCTTGGCTACACCTCAGGATTTTTATACCGAAATTCAGGTTTTTAGATGAAGGCTGGGTGCCACAATACTCAGTCTTAGAGCTTATGCTATTTAACACTCCAAGAAATGCACTTTGCTCTAATATAATCACGATTACAAGCATCTGTACCAGGAGAGCAGTCCTTTTTTTCATAAATGTACCTCGGTCATTTGATGTGTGGTCTCAGGCTGGAAAAATGGGTGAAAAAGATACCCTGTCAACAATCACGTAAAATATTTCATTTCAGTCTCAGAATTACTTTCATCACTTGGTCTGATATCTTCCAAAACATATGGTGGATAAAGTAGAATAAACCTTATATGAAGATGGTGTTTAAAATTGATTTAGATTCTCTTAAGTTTTTTTACCTTCAGCTGAAGCGATAATTGATTGAGGAGCAAATTTGAAAAATATGACGATCAAAAAATTGAAAAAAAAATTTCTAGATTCAATCACTTTTTTGATCGATTCTTCCAATTTTATTGTGAACAAATGGTTGAGTTATAACATTTTTAAAATCTTGTGCTCACTGCGTTAGGCTTGCATTAATATAATCTGGCCAGCTTCAACATTGAGTCGAGAAACAAACACTACCAGGTCTCAGATTGTAAAAGACTAAAAAATCTATTTGCAAATAGGCAGAGATGAAAGACAGCTGTTTTTTCATTAGTTGAAAATCGAAATATTCGTCAGAAACTTCTTGCAAATTATTCAATGCATCTGATCTTTTCAATGCATCAATGCGTCTGATACATATTACATTGTCTTCCTTGTTAAACTGTGTTATGGAAATAAATAACATTAACTGTAACATCATTAGTGTGATTTTTGCAGGAAAATCAAGGCGACAAAAAATGACTACCAACAAGGCTAGCTACCCTCAGGAAGGAGCTAGCCTGAGATCATGCTTGGTGCTCCGAACTCGGAAGGTTAAAAAGAGCTAGAAACAATGCCACAAAATTTAAGAAATATTGATGTTTTGAGAAATATTGGAAGAAGGGGCCTTAAAACTTTTTCAAGGCATACTTTTCCCTTTTTGTCAAATGTTAAATAGACCCCGGCTCAATGGCAAATTTTTGCATGCTCGGCATTGCTGCAACATTGCAGCTTTTAGACCTAGCACGCTAATTTTAAAGCAAATAATTAATTATTAGTTTTGTTATTCTATTATCTTTTTAAATATGTTGTACAATATAGCAACATGACTCCCATCTTTATGCAATGTTGCAACAACATTGTGTATCTGCTGGGTAAAACTTTCTAGATTCTAAAATGCTGATTGTCGTTTACCCCTGAAACATGAAAATATTTTGAAGCCTAATGCAGTTGATAAAGATTTGAAAGAAAAAGTCAATCTTCAAACCATTTCAAACATTATAGATATTTACATTTTATTCAAGACATATTGAATTTTCTGCGAACAAACCGTATCTCTTTTCTAAAATCTAGGAATGGGATGACGTCAAGTGCACCTGCAGAACCCTGTGCGGTTTGAAAGAAGACAAAAAAGACCAAGGGTCAGAAGCCTACTTTCTATTTTGGATGGGTGTGGAAGGGGGTGGGTCACATTATCCTGTGACAATGGTTACAAGGACTTCCGTTCAATCTGGCCAGTACCAGCACCGCCTTTACCACAGCTCATTGAAGCAGGTAGATGGGTGTTCCGAAGGGGCGAAACCCCCTTGTAAAGCGTAGCTGTCAGAAATATAGCATGGTTTTCTATACTTTTTATCAAAGTTCTACATTTTGAAAGGAAGGATTTTACGTTTTCTTTCGTAGTTCTAAATCAAGTTGGGAATATTTTTCTGTGAGGTATGGCGCGTAAAAATGCCTTCCGAAATCTGGAAGGAGTCCAGAAAAATCTTCTCAAGGGGAGATTTCCAGGAAAGTCTTCAAGAATCAGGATTTATGATACCGCAATATAAATATATTTTAAGAGCTTATCTTTGTTTTATTTCACTTCTAATGTAGTTTTATGTTATCATCAAATTTGTAATTCACAAACACATAGATATGTCCCCTAAGACTTTGGTCGGAAAATCTAAATTTCTCGCCTTTCCTATACATTTTCTTATCCACGCCACTCCTAAAGCTATAGGGCAAACTTTCTACTTGCCCAATCAATTTATTTTCCCAAAATGGCATTTCCCTATGTTAGAATTATACTTCGAGCAGAATTTAGCGGGCCTGGACAAGGAATGTTTTAGCGCCCCCTCTCGTTATAAACAACTACATCCCTGGCCACCACCGCTGCAAGTTTTACAGATCTTGTCACCAAACCGGCGGCTCTTTCATTTTAAACAATTTATTCGGGCCATTGTCACATCATTAGCTTTGCTTTCACTCTCCCGTGCTGGAGGATTCTCGTTGCTTGACTAAGGGGATTTCAATATTATTTTCCTTCCGCATTCTACGTAAAGGAAGTTAACTGACTAAATACCATATTTCATACCGCCCTCACTTTGGGAATGGAAGAGAGAGAGAATGGCAGCAAGTATCTGCGGAGGAATAGGGTTTCAAGGATGTTTTGTGCAGCAGTGACACCCAAGACTAGTGACATGGCTTCAAGTAAAATTTGTTGCAAAAGTTTCGAGTGGATCATAAACAACTGCTAATGGAAGGCAAAACGTTGTGCGAGAGGAGGCAAAACATGTTGGGGAAAAGGCCTTCATACGAGTAAGTTTTCCAAGAGTTTTCTGTTTATTCTCAAGGGCCTAAGCCTCTCCTTCCTTGACCTTATGCGAAACATTGCTCGTTCTGCTTTCGAACGAGAAAAGAAACACTGCAACCTTATTTATTCCAATGATCAGTGCTAACGTAGCACGATGGAAAATTTAGCACGTGAACGTAATTGTTTAATTGGGTAATCAATAAATGAGATCGTTAAAGAACGTAATGATATCGACATCCACTTTGCGACGTCAACTTATTATGTAGATTAAGGCATCTTTGCCTTCCCATTCCTCTAATTTTAAAAATGTTTTCAACATTTTGTGCTAATATTTGCTTAAAATGGACCTCATACAGCCAATCAATATCCGTCTATGTTTTTCCAGTCAGAGTTTTTTCACAACACAGTCATAGGGACAAAATATTCCACACACACTGATACATGTTCGGATGTTTGAATCATATCGTGTTCAATAATAGAGATCAGAATTGATTTTCTCTACCTCCAAGTTCTTGATTTTGAATCATATCATGTATTGAATGATAACTTCTAATAGAAGATGTTTGCAAAAGAAGTGAGAGAATTAGCTCAGAACTTTTTCGGTCTGTTTACAATTCTTGTTCTCATTGTAATTTTTGTGAGAAACAAGTAGAAACAAGAAATGAAAGCAGATCATACATAATATATAACTTAAGTAAGGTAAAGGAAATTTGAATGTTAGGAAGTTAGGTGTTATGAAAATTACTGTTTTACTGGTCCATAATAAGTGCTTATTTCCATATAGACAGAGGTGACTCGCAGGACAGCTTTAAGTTGCACTCTGAATTTCATGGTTAAATGATGATCATCAGGCAACTGTGCCAAATCAAATAACGGTTTTAAATGCATTTGATTCGTCCCTTAGGAATAATTTTCTTTTAAGATATTTCAGGTTGAAGTATTTCCCAGAACCTGATTCAACTAAAGCTGTTAACATCAAACTAAGATTATTATATATTATAATTAGGGAGGGAAGTTGACTTTCAAATGACTGATTCATTTTGCATCAGTGCAAGTTGTGAATTTTCATAGCAAGATCAAGGATCATAACAGGTAGATTATTGAGCAAGATTTACATGCATTATTTGCTGATTTGATATTTATGAGTTTGGTCAATCCAGCAGGTTGAACTTCTCAGGTAACAGCTTCCTGTGAAAGAGAATAATTGGTCTAACAGACCAAAAGTTTTTTGCTTGCACTGCCTTGATATATGCAGCCTAGCAGCTTATTCTGATAAGGCCCTAGCACCTTGGTCTGTATATGACCTTTTTAGGAAATGATTTTATCTTTCTTGGATTATCCAAATTGTGCAGTTAATAACATTTCGAAACAAATTTTGACACAAAAATGGTTCCCTAAATCAATGCTTTCATGTCCAAACTCTAGGAAAAATAATCATTTTTTTTTCTATACATCTTTGATTAGCCATATTCCGTTTTTTTATTATTGTAAATTTTACTATATAAAGCGTTTTAATTTTGTAAGTAGTTGTTTTTGCAGGCTCAATTGTAAAACAGTATTTAGACTGAACTTGTACCCTGGGTAAATAATTTTAAAGTAAAAAAAAATAAATAAATAAAACATGACATTTTAGACTGTGCTGTGATGAATCCATCATGATCAAGAATTGCCAAAATAAGATGCTTATTCTATTATTTGAACAGCTTCGCCATTCAGATAAAAAAAAATATTCTATTAACCTTTATAAACATGATCAGAACAAGATTTGTAGGGTTCGGGAGCAAAGGGTTGTAGGCCTATCTAAGTGGAGAAAAAATACTCTGCATGACACCTTTCTTACTACAATATTAACCAAACAGCAAAATCTATCATGAAAGTATGTGTAGTAATCTCTCTGCACACCAGTTTTTATGCCTAACAAAGTTGAAATATACTTTGAAACCTGTCTTGTGACATCATAGGGGTAAGAAAATCAAAATTATCAAAGTCCTTTGTTGCTAACAAGCATTCCATTTTGTTTCTTTTGTCAATGTTTAGCAATTTCCCCTACTTTAAAAATTCTCAATTCCCAACTTGCCCCAAGTTCTATTGATTTATCAAAGCCAAAATAAAGGATAAGTCCCATATATTTTCCAAGGGGCCTCCCCCAGACCCCATTATGTATCTTCACCACGGTTGCCAAGATTCAGCCAGGCCTTGGGGTAGAGCTTGAGACAGACACTGTACTGACCAGCCATGCAAATATTTCTATGAGCCCCCTTTGGGGCTCAGGCTCTGGGGTTCTGGTGTTGCACAATTATTTCACTCTGCAAGAGAAACTACAAGAAAAAATACAAGGAATTTGAGAAATTAGTTAAGGAACATTTTCGATGATGTTTATTTTACCTGAAACTTTGAATGTATTTAGGTAAACCTGCTCTTTTTATATCTGGATTCTTACTTTTATTGGATCCATTTTTAACTGTTTATAATTAGTGAATTAGCATTAAGGCATAGGAAACAGGACACACATTAATAACAGCAGTTTTAACTTGTCAAAGTGTATATCCTGTATAAATATTTGTCTTATTATTATTATTATTATTATTATTATTATTATTATTATTATTATTATTATTATTATTGACCACCCAGACAAATATTTCTACGAGCCCCCTTTGGGGCTCTGGGGTTCTGGTGCTAGCAATACCCATTTTGATGCCTCTACCATAATGATGTCAACTGTCTTTTGTAGAGCGCTATTAGACACATACTATTTTTTATTGCAAGCTACCTAAATGAAGCTCAAGAAAGTTGTGACCATCATTTCAACTATAAGTGATGCTTCTATTTATAAAAAAAATAGAACAATTTGATTAAAAAATACTATGTGTATATGTGAAAGTCTCTCAAAATCTGATCTAATTTTTTGTGTTCTTATTTTTTGATTATTCAATATGGAAAAAAACTTTTTGACCCTCCCTTACCAACTTAGTATCTTATAATTTTTAAGAAATTTTAAAGAACTTTTAATTGTATCCAAGTGAAGAAATTTTTTCCTCTTGGATAAGAGATTATGATTTGGTATTATAAGTTTCTTATCCTTTGATACTTATGTGACAAGGTCTTAAATAGGTAGATTTTTTATATTAATTCAGTGTTTTTTCAAATTTTGTTCAGTGTATCAGGAAATTTTTAACACTGTCAGTATAAAATTATTAAAGATCTGTTGTTTAGGTTTCCAAGCATTTTCTTGAAACCGATCATATGGGATATTTGTTCTGTAGCCTTCATTGTCTTGTGGATTCAGCAAATTTTGCAAAAAATACTTTTGAAACATTTATGAAACAAATTGATGATATTGTATTGTTTTAATTTATTGAGCGGTAGCCAGTGTTTTTCCTAAATCTTTCGTCAGTAACCTAGCAAAGCTTTGTTGCACCTGCGCGAAAATCCTTTTCAACATGGCAGCTGTGAGGTAAGTTATTCTCAAGCTTAACAATGCTTTGTTCTTATCAAATACAAGCCATCTAGACAGAAGAAGGCTGCAACACATGGTTTATAGAATTGATGTGAATGTGCAAAACCAGATTCTGTAAAAGGCCTAAGAAAAACTGATTAGAATGTTGCTGTTAAACTTAAAAAGTCCGTATAACTGATTCGATAATTGTTGAGCGAAAATGAAGACGATTTCGCAGAAGTCGAACGAAGAAACTCCAATATCCAGACGTTGATGCTGATTAAAATGAGCAGCAAAACCATGCCAAAAATGAGACTCCCGATACCTTTAAGGTAACATTTTTTTGTAACATTTTGGGACATTTCAGTCGTTGTTTTCGCATTTGCAAATTGGTATTATGTTAATTCAAGGTGCAACTGATTGACTGGACGAAAAATATTCGTTGTTGTTTGTAGATTGACTGAGCCACGTTACTTTTGGCGGATGGTCTAAAAACTGATTTCACCACCCATCTATAGGAATGGGTGAAGTCTGCTGATAAAATAGGCAACAGCAGATAAATAATGATATATTAAAACAACGTCAAGTTTATTATCTTCCTGTTTTGCTCTTTGATTTCAAAGACTTTGATATTCGTATTTCGTTTTTTATGCAAGTTTGTTTGTCCAATACTATCAATTTTTCCCAGATTAAGGCAACTGAACCAAAGCTTTAGAAGTGAACCCCGCAGGCATAGCGACTAAATGTAATAGTAGCCTACCTACGAAGATCACAGTTTTAGAGTTGTCTGATGATCGTATTAAGCGTCAAACTCTGAGCTGCAACTACGAGTCGTCCTGTTCTGCACACTAACGCGTCTATACGTCTGTCCGTGTTCAGGTCTAGCCGCTAAACAAGAATCCTCCTTGCTATGAATGTCTTCGACTATTTTTAATTGTATAGCCTCGAATGATCCAATGATTCAAACTCGTTCTGTGGTCTTTCATCGTTTGTCACGATGAGCTAACTTCCCAAAATATCCACTGGCATTTGAAGCAACATTTTCTCAATATTTCTATACAGAAGCTTAGATGCTTGTCTCATCTTGCTTTCTATTTGAAATTCTTCAAGCCCTTAAGCTCAATCGGTAATGCGTTCGACTCGGATCTTGAAGGTTTGTAGTACGAGTCAACGGAAAGTGCAGGGAAAGACACCCGCTTAACTACGTCACTAAAAGACCTCAATGAAGTATGCCTAAACCAGCTTCTGTTGGAAAATTGACATTAAATTCAACAAAATACAGTTATCTTTTAGTGTCACGAATTGTTATAATGTTTTTGTAGACAACATCTTTAATTTTCTTAATTTCATTTCTATTATTCTTAATCAACTGGATCTATCTAGTTTGGGACATGTTTTTATGTTTCGCATACGGTATTGTAGTGTTTATTTCCAGTCTCTGTCACATGCTGATTTTCTGACTAAATACTTGGTTGACAAGGAAGGTTTTTTACATATACTAATTGACGAGGAAGGTTTTTTTTATTATTTGTAGCTGGCGCTCGACCAAACTAACTAACTAACTAACTAACTAACTAACTAACTAACTAACTAACTAACTAACTATATTTGTAGCAACTTTATCCCCTTATCCGTCCTATCTCAAGCAAATAGATGTCGAAAGGGATTCGCTTATATGTTGGTGTACAGTAGGTTAACGTCTAGTCCTTGCCAAATTTGTTTTGACATGTTCGTAGCAACTATCAGTCTTTTTGCATACATTTCAAGCAAATCGATTTGTCTATAGGGCTTCCCGTATTTGGTATCATATCCAGTTTTTGCCAAGTACTTTCTGGCTCACAACAATTACAGAAAGAAAACCATATAGTGGAAATACCGTGTTTGACGTGATACCGGAATTCCTTCGCTTTCTAAATGCATTTTCTTGGTTTTTTATTGGAATCTGGTCTATCTATGATGCTTTAGTGGCTATAGTGTGATATTTCATTTGTCGTTTGTTTTGATGAAGACATTATGCCTAATAGAAATGCGTAAATCATTAATAATTAATGGTTTATCACAATTTTGTCACTTTCTCACTTCATCCATTTTTGAATCAATTTATTTAATCATCAAATCTATAAAGTTTTAAAATTGATCGCTTACATAGCTTAATCTATTGCCTCATCCTCACCAGCTCTCCCACAAAGATCTGTGTTTCTCTCTTCGTAGAATCAATATAATCTATGTTTCTTCGTCGTTCTGTTTTCCATAACTTGCCCACATAACTGAAGAGGATGCTTCCATCTCAAAAGTTTTCTCAAGTACATATTCTGTGCAAACGTACAGCTTTCCTCGTTTCATGTATTTTGCGGTTAGAACGGTCATTTCGTTAGTTTTGACCACAAAAATACTGTATCGTTTTATCAATGTGATCTCGCACATAAACCATAATACTTTAAACAATTTGATTTTATAAAAAAGTTTTTTTTGAAGCAAATACAGCACAAAGTATGTGTAGCATGGTTTCGGCTTTTTAGTGATTTTGCAACACATGTTATATGATCTAGAGTCTCCGATTCGCCTTGTTTCAAAGAAGCAATATTCTTTCTGTCTTAAAATTTTTGTTAGATCGCTATTTTATCTGTTTATCAACTTTGTGAAAATTTATTGCTATGGATTGGCTTACTTTCAGGGATAATGAAAATATGATTTCTTAAAATTGATAACAACGTAAATAAGATTCAAATTGAGAGCCTTTTAATTATACTACTGAATCGTATTTAATCGATAAGATCGACTCAGTTGCAGGTGGTTTCGAAGTGAGCAAACAAAGTCCGGCCATTTTTTGTATTGTTCGAATTTCAAAACCTGCTTCTTGTTTCAACCTGGAAATGTTGCTCGGCAGTTGAAGACATTGAGGACCCTGTGGAGGAGTTGACTGCATATGGTATAGGATAAGTGAGAAGCTTCTTCAGAAAATTGACGTTGATGCTGAATTCATAAGAGATAAAAGGCCTGCCTGATGGCTTTAAAAATGTTATCAGTTTAAATAATTCCAGTCCAGTAGATCTTGCAGTCAAGTGGAGAAAAGTTCGCTGGTCTGTATTGAAAATGACTTTTTGTACATATGTGAGCTGTCTTGGGGATGACATTGTAGTGTTTCTTTCTGGACTTTTTTTCACCATCGCTTTTAGATACTTCCCATCTAGTGGATCTTCAATAATGCAGTCAAGTGGGGAAAAATTCGTTTGTCAATATTGAAAATGTCTTTGTTGTATGTGAGCTGTCCTTGGGATGGTATTTTAGTGTTTCTTTCTGGAACGATTTCTTGTGACTTATTTCCCACATTGCCTCTATATAATTCTAATCTAGTCGTGGATCTTCAGTAATGCAGTCAAGTGGGGAAAAATTCGTTTGTCAATATTGAAAATGTCTTTGTTGTATGTGAGCTGTCCTTGGGATAGTATTTTAGTGTTTCTTTCTGGAACGATTTCTTGTGACTTATTTCCCACATTGCCTCTATATAATTCTAATCTAGTCGTGGATCTTCAGTAATGCAGTCAAGTGGGGAAAAATTCGTTTGTCAATATTGAAAATGTCTTTGTTGTATGTGAGCTGTCCTTGGGATGGTATTTTAGTGTTTCTTTCTGGAACGATTTCTTGTGACTTATTTACCACATTTCCTCTATATAATTCTAATCTACTGGATCTTCAATAATGCAGTCAAGTGGGGAAAATTCGTTTGTCAATATAGAAAATGTCTTTGTTGCATGTGAGCTGTCTTTGGGATGGTATTTTAGTGTTTCTTTCTGAAACGATTTATTGTGACCTATTTTCCACTTTCACTTTCTTTATTAGCTGTTCTGTTCGGCAATGTTTCTTAAAATTCAATTTAAAGCAAACCTGAGATTTGTGTTTCTTACACTCATACCCCAATATATCGGACTCACATAATTCTGATAATTCACAGCTCGTATAAAAATTTCTGATCCCAGTCCTTTTGGAATTGATTCTATCAGATTTCATCACTTCAACCGGATTTTTCCTTTTTATATAAATACACACAATACTACAGTACTACCCGGCCACTAAGGAACTCATTTTGTAACAAAAAGTTTTCTTGGTTTCTTATAACTGGAAAATACGATTATGCTGGCTGAACAATTTCGTTTAATTACTGCAATAATTCTCACCAAACGTGCATGTATGTTTGAATAGAAACCATGAAAACTGCTTTTATGTTGGTTATATTAAATCAAATTTTGGATAGCTTGTTCAAATTTGATTAAGCTTTGATGTGATAATGCCCTCCTGTGCAAACTAAAAAAGCAGATACTTTTAGTTCCAGTAGGTGCTCACCAAGCGAACTCAGTTTCAGGGTTATTAGTTTCTTATCAGGGTAGATGTGGAGCCATCTGGCAGGCTTCAGTTTTTAATAATTCAGTGTCGGGGTAATACCGTATGTCGGAATGATGTAAGAAAACGAAATGGCTCTCAAGCCCCGGTCAAACGCATCCAACATTTCATTCAATATTTATTCCCAAAAAATTAGAAAGTATGTTGATATTTTCCAGCGGGTGGTCAAACGCATCCAACATTTCGCCCAACATTTCATCTAACAATTCCATCACCGTGCATTGCCTGCGCAGCGACATGTTTGCAGCACTAATTCACAGATGATAAAAAGGCGCGTAAAACAAAAGTGAATAATGACAGCTGATTTCGAAAACAACATGTTGAAACGTATAGCTTCCCGTTAGGCCTATGCCTAAATCTAGATCGTTATCGCTGCTGTGACTCTCCACGTCAGTGCTGCGTTCGTCCTAATCCACCACCTTTTCCTCAGCTATTAATTGTTAGATTATTTCATTCTGCACTTTGCTTTTGCTTTTCATTTTTCACTCGATAACTTTGAAAAAGTTGCTCACAAATGAATCTGGATTCACCTCCGCTCAAATGACAATAAAGAAGTTCGAATCATGCGCATGCCTAAAAAATGAAATGTTGGGTGAAATGTTGGATGGATTGGTCAAACGCATTCTAAATTACACCCAACATTGAAAAACAAAATTTGTTTTTGACCGTGATCAAACTTCATCCAACATCGGTTTGCAAATGTTGGGTGACGCAACATGGGTGGTCAAACGCATAGTTCGAGGTGAAACTTCCCTCTCGTTTGATATCAGTGCATCCACAGGGAAGCAATTCGAGTTTTCGAGCAAGCAACTTACTAGGCGTACATTCAGGCTTTCCTTCAAAATATTACGGCAAGATAACATCTTGGATTATACCTAGTTTTAAAGAAATTTACCCTTGCAAATGTTGATGACAAAAGGTGATATTTATGCAG